GGAAAATGCAGATTAAAAGCACAAAGAGCGGCTCTGCCACCGCCCTGCCCTCCCCTCCCCCTCGCGGAATCACCGCGTTTTGCGTAATTCCATCTCTCCTCGGTGGAATTAATTTGACCAGAGAAGACGCAGGAGGCAGAGAGAACCCTGGGACGGCTGGACAGTGTCGCAAACTATCCCAAGAGGGGGCTTAGAGACACAGACATGGACAGACAGAGGACAGGGCAGAGGTGGCCCCTGGGTTGGTCCTCGCAGACCCTACCTTGGCCTGGTTTCCATCACAGGAGGCTCTCAAACATTGCTAGGCCTGTCCTGCAGGCTGGAGCCTGAGGGCCAGGCAGGGCTGGAGCTTTGGGTGGCAGGGGTACTAGAGGGAGAGGGGTGGCAGGCAGGGCAGAGAGAGCAGACTCCAGAAAAGGTATCCCCCGTTCAAGATGCCCCAAGTTCTCAGCGTCCCCAGTGGGCCTGTCCCTGCGCGCTCAGTGTGGAAGGCAGAGGTGGGATTGGCCTGGGGGAGGAGGGAGGCCCCGCATTTAAAAAGCAAGGTCCTTTGGAAGGGGTAGGGTCGCTTCATCCTGGATAGCCTGTCTACAGACCAGGGTCTTGCGAGCCACCAGGAGTGGGGGTGGGGAGGTGGCGGCCCGAGGGCACAGGGTCCTTCCGGGCTGTACCTGTTCTCTCTGCCCGGGCCAGCGAACTCCTGAGCAGTGGTGCCAGGCCAGCCAAGGCTGTGGAGGGGCCACAGACTCAGCCTCAGCCTCCCCTTGCAGCGCTGCCCACTGGGGCTGGGAGAGGGGAGTGCGGCCCACCAGAAGCCTAAACACAGACACCGGCTGATCCCCGTGGGATTAAAAGGAAGTCGAGGAAGCCGGTCTGAAGGCCATCCACACCGGGCTCTCCAAGCGCACCTCCCCACAGTCCTGCGGCGTCCTCTCCGTCCTCTCCTGCTGAGCTGCACTCCTGTGAGCCCGACTGGGACGTTCTACCCGCCCCCGGGCAGCATCCGAGGGGACCCTGCTCCCGGGGGAAATCGCCGCGCACTCCTCCCGGGACACGGCTGGACCAGGAGTCCCCAGCCCGAAGCTGTTGCGCGACCAGCTCTCCGCAGCCGCCGTCCCC